AAGAGAGAGTGCTGTTTAAATGGTTTTAGACCAATCCATCTTGTGGGGGTGTTCAGCTACTCCACAACAATCAGTATGCCAATAGTGTTTGGTTTCATACACACTCTTTTCAAGGTGAAATATACCTCAGTTTTATTATGAAAAAACTCTTTTCTTATTGATCATTCAGATAACATGTTTGTTCCAGAACAGTTAACTGTTTTGTCATTGCTTAATCTAAACAGTCAATATCTTTGTATATAGAAAACTTTTCCAAGCTACAAAGACAATTACAGGGAACAGTTGTAATAATTCTTCCAGTATAAATTTCTATTCAAAATATTTTTTATCCTGTGGTATCCCAGAGTCAATGCTTTAGTTTCACCCCCGCTCAATTAAAGTAGAAATTCTGACTTCTTCAATTACTGGTCAGAAAGAAACCAGCAATGACTGAAATAGTGTAACAACTACTAGACTTCCTCTTAGGAGATATTTTGGTTTTTGAATACTTAGTGTTTTCTATTTTTCATTTTAGCTAAAAAGTAAAACTTCTTGTTATATTATAGCAAAAATGAAGAATTAGTGTGGGTTCACCGATACACCTTCATTAAATAGTTGCCAAACAGTCACCAAAGATCAACACCAATACACACCAGCAGTCAGGATCCATACTGTCAAAAACTGGTATGAGTTTGATATCAAATTTATCTGTCATTAGGAAAAATGCCAAAATAGCTTGTAGTAAAAATGAAGAATTAGTTCACCAATACTACAATGGTTGTAACAAAATTCCCAAATGTCAGGAATTTGGAACACAAACTTCAAACTAACAGAAATTGTACCATAAGTTTGCTTGTGGGTTTTTTGGAGTTGCAAACATACTTGTGGTATGAGTGTTCAAATTTCGTTTTCCAAATTCACAATAGTCGGGTGTTTTGATGCAACCATTTGGCGACTGTAGGTGTTTTGGCAAACTTGCACTAATTCTTCATTTTTGCTACATGCATATTTTAAATTTTAACTCTAGTTTTCTCTCTTGCATATTAGAGGGCATTCTTTTTGTTAAATGGGGTGAGATATCACATAAAAATTCAGTGTGTTCGCAAGTATAATTGAGAATATTTTTTCATTTATAATGAATGGTTATTACAATTTTTCCTGTAAAAAGTAATAAATTTTCAATCGTACATTAAAAATTCAAACAAATCCACAAAATTACAAATTTTAAAATAATGACATGTTTCCTTTTTTAATTTCATATGATTGTGGAACAACAGCTACATCAACTCTCTCCCTCCAAATGATTTCAGAGATTTAAAAAGTATCATGTATTTTTAATACAATATTTAATTTGATTTTTATTTCAAATTGTTTCAATTTTTTTTCATCATTTGACAAATAAATTATAAGGGAGGACATGAAATTCTATTTAATGTAGAAATGTAGGAAGATTTATAAACTTTATAAACTTGTTATGGTATTTTTTCCACAGTAGGAATTATCAAATCTGGTTATTTTCAATTTTAATTAAGAAATGTTTAAATTAGATTGAAATACATTATTCAGAAATTGATACTATTACAAATTAATAGATATTAAAAAATAGTTTGTATCAAACATGGCTGAGTTCTTTGGTGGAATTGTACAATATGCAATTGCAACCAGAAATTACCATTTTATCAAATTTATAGATTAAGCACTCCAGATCAGAAATATTTTTTCTTTTTTAATTTTTTGTTAAATTTTATAGAAGATAATAGGAAGGTCCAGTTTTCTTTATTGTAAATTGATCCCCCTATGGAAGCCAAAACAAAATACATTCATATGATGTGATTTCTTAAAATGTAAAAAAATAATTTTTTTTAAATTCATAATCTGGAGTGCTTAATTGACAGTAAAATATGAAAAAAAGAACTCCAGATCTTTGGTCTTTCCTCTTAATAATAACAAAGATTTTGATGCTAAAACTGTTTTTATCTAGTTCAGGGCATTTTCTCATCATATATACTCATTTTTTGGTGAATCTTGGCAGTACCTAGTTTAATCTATGTTAATATGAAAAAAATGATTATTCCTGGTTTACAGTGCCTATTGTCTAACTCCATTTCTTTTAATAAAAGAAGTTCACAATTCAAAACATCTGGGACGGTCTATTCTTTAGTATAACAATAGCAGAATATTTTTTTCACAAGGAGCGAGAGTAAGAACTGCTCCATATTATAAGATCAAAAGAATGATAATCGATTTCTTTTTCTGTTCCTAAAATAAAATAAAAAAATTAAGTTTTAAAATTTGAAAGGTTTCTGAGTAGGGGAGATATTTTTGTCCTTTTTTTTTTTTTTTTTTTTAAGTGTTTAATCCTGAAATACTATAAGATGGTGTCAACATTTTTTTCTTTTGATCTGATTCAAAGGTAGAAATAAAATTTTGGGGGCAGACAAATTACTACAGTCTAAGAATGCTTAACCTTTGCTGGCTAGGTTTCTATCTGTCACAATGTCTGTGTGTGAGTTTTCATTTCTGTGTTAGTTAATTATATATATGAATGTCATTTCATTTAAAAAAAAGAATAAAAGTTTGTGTTTTCATTTTCATAATTGAAACAACAGAAGTGACTGAATCTTAATTCAGCTTTCTTTTTTATTTAAAAAAATATTTTTTAGTCTTTCACATTATTTTGATGTATTCACCAAGTTTAATTATTCGAATTTATTATTAAAGTTAGAATAAGCTTAAGATAAGATAGTTTGTTTTTTTCGTTAATTACAGTATGAAGTAAAAAAGGCCAATTTATTTAAATTTATTTACTTTTAAAATATTTACTTTTGGAAGCACACCTTTTAGATTGTATTTGAGTTCAACATTAAAACATGTAATGGTTTAAAAATGCAAGTTAACAAGTGTTTCTAAAAAATCCTTTTTTTAATTTAATTATTTGTTTTGTCACTAAATAACCATAACATTAATGTGATGTTAAAATTAACATGACACATTTTATGCAAGTTTAAAACCTTTCGAAAATATTTGGAGGCACTATTAGAGAGTAATAAAATTATTTTACAAGCAATAAAAATGATTATCTATGAGGCCTTGGTGGAAGCCCCTTTTTGATGCCACCCTCCCAGAGACTATAAAAACTGGATAATTACAAAGTCCTTTCAAATATTGGGAGTCTCACCACTCAAATGAACAATGCATTCTTTCCTCAACCAAATGCAATGTGCAACACCATAACTCACAATACTGATTTTCTTCTTTGAAAAAAAAAAAAAAATATATAAATTCACTAAATTGTCCATTTACTTTGCATCAAAAAAGTCGGCTTTTGCTTTGAGAGTTTTGTTCAGGACTTCACAATTGTGAAAAATAATTGAAGTTGATTTAAAAAATGATGTTAAAATAATTACACAATTTAGTAAAAATAGTAAAAAAAAAATATATATAGTGATGATGAAAATGCCACAAATTCCTTACTCCACTTTATTGCCGATTCTCAAATGCTTTGTCACTTTGTTTATGACTGAACAAACTTATCTTTTTAATATAGAAATCATTTATATTGATTTCAGATATTTAATTTCAAGCAGGAAACATTAGATTTGCATGAATTTTTTAGGCCATTTTGTGCTAAAAATATGTTAATTGTAAAAAAAAGTTTTTTTGTAAAAAAATTGTAAAAAAAAGTTTTAGATAGTTGAGTTTTCAGAAGTTATTTTGTAATTAATTAATGGAATTATTTTTAAGTGCTTGTTCTGTAATATTTATAATATAATTTTAGAAATTTCCAAAACAATTTCCAGATTGACAATAATATATATATTCAATATAAGACTTGTGTCAAATATATTTTTCTTTATTTTCAAATTCATAGATTTTTTTTTTTTTTTAAAGAGTTGTACTTAACAAAAGTAACTGTTTTTATTTCTGTTTGAAACTAATTATCTAAATTATCAATTTATGGAGAATTTTAAAATTTCTTATCTGCAAAAATTTGAATTTTCAGATAAGTGGTACCTTTAACTTGTTTTTATTTACAAATGTTAAATTTGAATAGTGCTCATGTCATTGATAACTGAACTTAAGACTCTTGCTTTTTCTCCCATTTACCATTAGGAATTGTTTTTCTCTTTCAAATATTTATTTTTAAGCAAAAAAAGTCATGTAAAAATCTTACCCTACTTTTTACAAAGGGACTGGTTTCAGTTAGAAATGCCCCAACCCCAATCAAATCTCGGCCCTAAAATCAATTTCACATCCAAATCAAATCCAATGGAATTACAAGTTTAAAATCCTAATCCAACCAACCTCTGAGGAGATTGAAAACTATTGTTCCCAGAAAAATAACTTTGGATTTCAGACAATATTTTCTACATCAAAAATATTCTTTATGTAAACCTAATTTGCAGTTTGAAAAGTCATTGTAGCGATTTTTGTTTTGTAGGAATATCAATGTACTTAAAACATTGACCACGCCTTATTTAAAACTGTAAATTTTTTCTTACTTTTGATGGAACTAAAAAAACTGGAAAAGTGTCAATCTGTCCAAAATGTGTTGAGTTTATGTGGGGGTGGGGAGAAATATAGACTTAAACAGTTTTCTGTTAACAATCACCAACGATGTACTTACCCACCACCTACCCAATGATTCGATTTTCCATCTTCTAACAAATATTATTTTATATACATGACATACAACTTGTAACAGTTAAAAAAAATACATTACAAATGGAAAACATTTTTTGTTAAATAACCTAACAAAAAAAAAGTACACACAGTAAGTGACTCAAAAAAATCATGTTTTTGCATGCATAAAAATATTGTTTATCTAAATTAAATTTCTGAAAAAATTATTACTAATTATTCTAAATTAAAAAAAATTATTACTAATTATTCTACTCAATTTTTATCCAACATAAGAATAAAAAATAAATAAATTTTAAGGCTGAAGTTTGTGGTTAAATGAGGAACAATAAACTATGTAGATTAGATGAAAATACAGTTGAGAATTTGTTGATGTAATA